CCGATAGGAGATAAAGCTTATTTATTTGCCTAAGACTATAGGCAAAAAAAAAAAAAAAATCTTGTTTACATGTCCAAGTATTTACTGATACGGTTGGTTTTAAATCCATCATCTTGCAGTTTGTTTTTTCTTTGCCCCATCTGTTATTTGTTCTCTCTTTTTAATATCTTTTTGCTCTCTTCTGGGTTGAATATTTTTGTAATTGCATTTTATTTCCTTGGGTGGCTCGTTAGCTGTAACTATTTTATTTTGTTTTAGTGGCTGCTTTAGGGTTTATAGTGTACATCCTTAATCTATTACAGTCAACTTCCAGGGATAATATACCACTTCACATAGAGTATGAAAACCTCACAATGGGGCACTCCATTTTCCTACCTCCAGGTCATTGTGCTATTATTGTCATACATCTGACATTTGATTTCTACATTATAAACCCTACAGTGCATTGTGCATGTTGCATTTTTTTCTGTTAAACATTGATCTTTAAAGCAGATTTTTTTTTTAAAGATTGTATTTATTTATTCATGAGACACACAGAGAGAGAGGCAGAGACACAGGCAGAGGGAGAAGCAGGCTCCATGTAGGGAGCCCGAAACAGAACTCGATCCCAGGACCCCAGGATCACACCCTGGGCTGCAGACAGATGCTTAACCGCTGAGCCACTCAGGTGTCCCTTAAGCAGATTTTTTTAAAAAGGCCAAGTAGTGGGTGGTTGGTTTTATATTTGGTTATCTGTGTTCTATTTCCAGTGTTCCCTATCTTTCAGTACCTCTAGATTTCTTTCTAATATCATTTTCCTTCTGCCTGAAGGACTGCTTTTAAAAATTGATGTTGGTTCAGTCTGTTGGTATGATGAATTCTTTTAGCTTGTGTATGCCTGAAAGAAACTTTATTTAACCTTCATTTTCGAAAGGCATTTTGCGGTATTGCCCCACTGTCCTGTGGCTCACATGGTTTCCCACAAGACATCTGCTGTCATTCTGATCCTTGTGTCCACTGCCCCCAAACCTCCTCCACATATTCTGTGGCATTTTTCCCCAACAGCTTCTCATATCATTATCCTGGTTTTAAGCAATTTGATTATGATATGCCTTGGTATTGTTTTCAAATTTCTTGTTCTTAGAGTCTACTGAATTTCTTGGATTTGTAGACTTATGATCTTCATGAAATTTGGAAAATGTCTGGTCATTATTTTTCAAATATCCTCACTGTCCCTCTCCTTCAGGAACTCTAAGCACGTGTATCAAGTCATGTGACATTGACCCACGGTTCGCTAATGCTCTACTCATTTTGTTTTTCAATCTTTTTTTTTTTTTCCTGAGTTTCATTTTGGATCATTTCCATTGCTGTCTTTATATAATTTTTTATTCTGTTGAGTCTAATACATTGCAGTTTTCATCTTAGACAGTGCATCTTTAATTTCTCAAAGTTCACTTTGGGCCTTTTTACTGTTTTCCATGTCTCTACAGGCTCAAGCATTTCTCTACCTTATCATATGAACCTATGGCATTCAGTTATAACTGTTTTCATGTCCTTATTTACTGATTTTACTGTCTGTCACTTCTAGATCTTCCTCTTCTTCTTCTTCTTCTTCGTTTTCTTCTTCTCCTTTTTTTTTCTTTAGAGTGAGGGGTTAGGGAGAGAGAGAATCTTAAGCAGCTTCCATCCCTAGTGCGGAACTGCCATGAGGCTCGATCTCACAACCCTGAGATCATGACCTGAGTTGAAATCAAGAGTTGGACACTTAACCAGCTGAGCCGCCCCGTTGCCCCGGGACCTGTTTCTATTTTTTTCTCTTTATTATGGATTGTTATAGATGCCAGTCCTTGCTAAGTTCTACTATCAATATTCTAGGATGTTGTTCTGGGACATAGTTATGTTATTTGGAAGTAGTTGGATCTTTTCAAGACTTTTAAGTTTTATTAGTCAGGACCAGAGCAGCCTTACTCGAGAGACAACTTTGCCCTCTGAGTACTACCAGCACTCGGTGAATTAGAAGGTTCTTCCTCTGGATGGTGGGAACACGACCTACCCCAGTCCTCTGTGAGCTGTTGGCATTGTTTTCTCTGCTCCATTTGGGCAGATCTTTCCCTCAGGTGGCTTCCGCACGCTCAAGCTCTAATCAGCAATCAGCATAGGACTTGAGGGGAACCCTCTGCAGCTCTCTGGATCTTCTTTCTGTGACTTCAACCTAGAAATTCTCTTTAGGTGCTAAGCTGGAGCAGTGGTAGGGGTTATTTCATTTGTTTTCCATTTCTCAAGGACGACTGTCCTGAGCTGCCTGATGTCCCACATCTGAGAACCATTGTTTCATGTATATTTTCATGTATATTTTGTCCAGTTTTTCAGTTGTTTCAGATAGGATAAATTTAGTCCCTGTTGCCCCTTCTGAGCTGAAAGCAAATATCTTAAACTGTGTTAAACTGATAGTTCTCAAACTTCACTGTGCATCAGAATCAACTGGAAGGCTCACTAAAACACAGATTCCTAGACCTCCCCCAGAGTTTCTAAGTAAGTAGGTGTGGGACCTGAAAAGCAGTATTTTAAACAAGTTCTCAGATGATGTTGCAGCTTCTGGTCTAGGACCACACTTTGAGAACTACTGTGTTAAAGGAATTCAACTAAGAACATATCAGGTGATCTTCATCTATGAATCAGTAACACAGTGTGAACCATATTAATAATCAAGGCAAAGCTTGTCAGAGAACAACAAGCATAAGTAAATATATTATTTGAAGGTATTTGGGGACATATATATCAAGAACTAAAGAAAAGCTGTTCATTTCCTCTTATCTGATAAATCCAGGAAATAAACTCCGTAGAAACGATATGGATCAATCTTTCCCAAATAATATTCCTTAGAACATCAGTAACCTGTGAGTTGTTCATAGGTTCTTTGTGAAAGGTCTTTATGGTTAAATAGGGTTAGGAACCTGTAATATGCTAATATATTTTATAAGTTTTCCAAAAGAAAGAATATGAAAGGTTTCCCAAACTTATTTGACCACAAAACCGTTTTACTTGGCAAAACTTTCTAATGTTCCTTGGAAGCCAGTCTCAGAAATACCGGAGCAGACCCTTGGCATTAGCAGGCCTACCATTTTCAGAGCCAGCCGGTTGTCAGGAGACATTCCATCGCCGAAACAGCCTGGGATTCTGATGGAGCTGGACGGAGCCTGGGGAGTGGGTGCCCTGGCTAACGAATGAGCTCAGCCCACTGCCCACAACACACTCCTAGCATGGCTTCCTAGTCTGCTGCTCTTCACACAGTGGCTTTTACAATCATAAAAATCTGTTGGCCTTGTGAAAGTGGCCCTGAGGGAAATGCCTGCTGGTGGTTTTGTGATGGAAAGAAATTATTAAAAGGAAAAGGAGGTGGAGATGGAGGTGATATTAGAAAGGGGGGGTCTTAGCAAGAAAAGAGATACATTCCAAAGGTGGTCTCCTAAATTTGGCAGGGACATGGATCTATATGCAAATGAGCTCATTCTGCAGCCTACATGGAAACCATAAAAAGTGATTCATGAACTGTTTTAATGAGACACAAAACTTAGCAAGATAAAACATTACACATGTTAATTGCTGACAGAAATGCAATTCAAGAGAAAGCCAGAGGCCTGGGCGGGTGTTTCGGTGAAGCCACCCGAGGTGAAGACACTTATACAGTAAATAAAATTTATTTCTAGAATTTAAAGAGAAGCTTCTCTTGGTATATTATGATGCAAGAAGGGAAGGGTGGTCTTAGCCGACCACATTCCATGGAAATGAAATATATTTCACCTTAAGCTAAAGATATCACAGAAGAAAATATCTGGGTAATAAGCCTCATGTCTCAAGATATGCAGAAAGCTGTAGAGGAAAAAAGTGCTGCTAATCACCATGATACTCCTATAAAACCTCAACTCACCTTCTCCTTTTATGCCATTCACACCCAGCTTAGGCACAGTCTCCTGTGACTCGGCCAGTGTCACCCAGGATCTCCTACGGGCCAGGCCGTCTGATGCTTACAGGGAGTTTGACTGTAAAGAAGGCAGTGCCCTGCCCGCCAGGGGCTCTCAGCATCACCTGTTCTCCCAGGGGCGGAGGCCTGGTCAACTGTTGCAGACTGACCTTCCGCAGCATCTCCTACTAAACTGCGTTTGATCTGTCTTGCTCATCTTCATGTTGTACAGGATACATACTTCTTGATTAAATGAATATTCCTTAGAATAAAGTTTGAAAACAATCTAGCGTACCTCGTTTATCACGCTTTGTAGCGCTTGTGGCTTTTACAAGTTGAGGTTCTGTGGCAACCCTGCTTTCAGCAGCCGTATCAGCACCGTGTTTCCTGCAGCATTTGCTCTCTTCGTGTCTCTACGCCACATTTTGGTGATTTTGCAATATTTCAAACTATTTTTCTCACTCACTGAAAGCCCAGATGATGGTTACCACTTCTTAGCAATAGACTATTTTTAAATTAAGGTACTAGCAATTTTTTAGACAGAAAACCCAAGGATTAAATATTGTCAAGGAGGAAAACAAATAAAATAGAATTACAGAAATCGTATTCGTTACCTAAAGTAAGGAAGTTACTTGATTTTTTTAAATTTTATTTTTATTTTTTTTGCCTGAAGCATGTTTATTGAGCTAATCACTAGGGTACAAAAGAAGCTGGGAAAGCTGTTCCAAAAATACAGGAAACTACTGGGTTCTTTCTATTCAGTACAGGGAGGCAGTGCCACTCTAGTACTGAGGTAAAGCTGCCACCTCCTCCAGACACAGCAGGAAAAAGGCATTCTCCACACAGGGACAGAGCCAGGAGTATGAGGAAGGCCGGGGCCTAAGGCTTCTCTATCCCAACCTCATAGGAGAAACATTAGGTTAGAAAGGCACAGCCCACTCTCCTTCCCTTCAAAGACCAGGATGGGGCCTGGAAGTAATGGTTCCTTCTTCTCTGTTCTCCTGTTTGCCTTTTCCCCGTTGAGGTGGGGAGTGGAAATGGGGAGGGGCATGGAGTCCTGTCAGAAATCCTCAAGGTTTAGCTCTGTAGAATCTAAAAGGTCCAGCCCGAGCTCACTGGGGGAAGTGTGCTTGTCTGTTTCTTGCCATTCCTCACTTAACTCGTGAATTTCCAACTCTTCTTCATCCTCTTCCATGAGGCTGAGTCGGGTCAGCCGGTTGCCCAAACCAGGACCTGAAGGGTTGAGGAGAGTCTGGAAATGCTGTGGACTTGAGAACCTTGACCTCTGGTTGCCTGACAGAGGTTGGCCCTGGGTCAGCTCTCGTTCTGAGCGGCCTTCTTCCTCCACCTCTTCCAGCCCCCTCAGGGGCTGCCTCCTCTTGATGGCTGTAGAGGTGAGGGTGGGTGTGGGTGGGATGCTGTTCAGCTGCAGGCTTTCTTCCTGAGACGAAGAGACATCCTCTCTGCCGCCTGGAGGGACCTTCAGTACGCCTTTTCTTGTAGCGGGGGCAGCCCTGAGGACTGGTCTCTGCTGTGTTCTCCACAGGGCTGAGGGAGTGGCAGTAGGTGGTGACTGGACCCCAGGGACAAGCAGGTGACTGGGAGATACGCTGCGAACACTTTTCCAGGTAGGACAGTAGCAGCTGCTTGTCCTGATGGAAGAGTCGGGGGGAAAACTCTGGAAGGAGCTCCAGGAAGGCCAGGTTTGGGGGCTGACTGGAGGATCCAGGTGGAGGCGGTTCAGACAAGGAGAACTTGATGCCTTCCTTGTGGAGTGTGACCACAAGGTCACGGATCTGCAGCTGCTGGGGTCCGAAGCTCAAAGCAAACCTTCGGGCCAGATCCCTCATCTCACCAAAGGCTGGAAGCTCATTCAGGCCCTGGGGCCCCTGTTCTTGTAGCAATTCTGTATACAACTGCTTGAGGCTCAGCAGCAGGATCTGGGAGCAATGACTCCGGTCAATCTGCCTTGCTCTAGTTAACGTTTCCTTGATGATGTCGCCATAGTCCTTGTAAAACTTGCTGTAGTGTTTGAAAACATCTGAGGCTGCATCCATGTCCAGCACCCCATAAAGCAACAGTTTGCAGAACCCAGCCGGGAGGTGCCACAGTGACCCGAGGTGTTCAGGGAAAACTCTACTCACCTGTGACCTGTTGCTGTGAGAGCACCTACAGTTTATACACTGGGGTATTGAGGAGAGTGGGGTAGTTCGGGTGCTGTGAGCCAGATCCAGAGCACGAGTGCTTCCCACTGCCTGGGAATGCAGAGTAGCACCAGGCAGCAGTGGAACCCTGGGGCGCCAGGGTTCCGCCCACAATGGGGTCCTGTGTCATCACTGTAGGTCGGGGGTCCAGTCAGCACTTAGCCCGGCACCCTGAAGGCCAAGGGTGCACGGGGAAGTCCTGTCTCACGCCGGATGGGAAGGGGTTGCAGGCACCCTCCCACAACCTTAGTTCCCACCTTCAGGCCCTCCAGGCCTCCCACCATTCTAGGTAGACTGGGTGTCCCAGCTGTCCTCCCACCCACAAGGGTTCACAGCATGGATTTTGCACTTAAGAACATTTGAGGGGCTCATAGGTGGTTCAGTCAGCTAAACATCTACTCTTGATTTTGGCTCATTTCAGGATCTCGAGGTTGTGGTGTAGAGCCTCAGGTGGGGCTCGGCCCCGGCGGCAGGGGGAATCTGCTTCAGAGTCTCCCTTACCCTCTGCCCCTCTCACTGCATGCTCTCTCAAATCTTTTAAAAATCAACATTGAAGACATTTGAGAAATCTTTATTATCTCTGCAGAGGTGCCTTCATATGTGTAATGGCTGTGTAAATGCTTTTTTTTTTTTAATTTTCATTTCTCTGGAATAAATTCCCTGGAGTGCTAAAAAAAAAAAAAAAAAAAAAAGTATCCCAAACTTTGCCTTCTCCCGGTTTAGGCTCCAGCTTTCCCATGTGTTTGGCGTGGCTTCTTCCTGCCTGTCTGTTGACATCCTACCTCTTTAAGGCTCAGCTGAAACACTTCATCCTCCCCGAAGTATGAAGACTTTCATGTCCCTTCTAGGATTCACCTCCTAGAAGATGCTGCTAATTCTCACCCAGACACCTCCAGCTTTACCTGCAGGGTTCGCAGGTGGACTTCCAACTGCTAAAAGCTGCATGTCTTTGGCTGAGAACCCCCTCCAAACCTGGAGCCGGCTGCCCTGCCCATGCTCAGTGGGCCAGAAGCGCTAAAGAAAGAACCCCTTCCAGAGAGCCCCCTGCTCCAAGACTGATGGAAAGCAGTTGGTCCTTTTAATGTGCTCAGCTCCCCGTGATAGAATAGCCTGGACTAGGTGGCCGAAGCCCAGAGATTTATTGCTCATGGTTTGGGAGGCTGGGAAGTCCAGAATCAAGAGGCCAGCTGCTTTGGTTCCCAGTGAGGCTCTCTTCCTGGTTGGAGTCAGTTGACTCTTGCTGTGTCCTCACAGGACATGAGGACAGAGACAGCAAGCACTCTGGCGTCTTCTTCCTATAAGGACACTAATCCTGTCATGACCTCATCAAAACCTAATTACCTCCCGGGGCCCCATGTCCCAATACCAGCACATAAGGGATTAAGCTTTCAACATGGGAATTTTGGAGAACACAACATCCAGTCCATAACACTGGTGAAAAAGCACCTCATCTCCTTGCGACTTGAGTGGAATGACTGTGGGGTCCTGTCCATATCATTTCCTGGTGTCCCCGGAGGACTAAGCTCCCATTTCCCAGAGGTGACTGGCTGGATAACGCATTGATGACGCCCCACTTCCCCTCCCACCTTCCTCCCCAATGCCTTCAAAAGAAAAGTCTGTCCTCACCTCCTTGTATCAGGGCCCGCTCCCCCTGGGCTCCCGTGTTCCCCTGCTGTAATATGTCTCACATTATGCTCTTTGTTGCAGGGTTTTATGAATGTCTAGACTCTCGTAACTAAACCATAAAGCCTTTGGAGAAGAGAAATTTTCTTTACATGCTGTTTCCCCCAAAGCCTAGCAAAAATACCTTGCATATAGCAGGTGCTTTAAAAACACTAGATTAAGTAATGACATTAATCAAACTCAGGATTTTTACAAGAAAGGCACTGTAGCCATCTAACACCTACAGAGCTCACAGCATTTTCTGTGGCACCACATAAAGCAAATTATTTAAGTGAATTTTTATGAATCCCAATTACTGATTTAGAAACCTCATAAGCAGTTCCAAGTTCAAAATGAATCTTTAAGCAATAGATGAAATATATTTTAGTATTTTCTGGAGGAGATAAGAGTTGTGTGTATGTGTGTTTTTTTTTTTTTTTTTTTTTTTTTTTTTTTTTTAGGAGATAAGATTTGAACCAAGTCCCTATTTCTTAACGTGGCGTTCAAAGCCCTACATGGCCTATCCACCCCTCACCTCCCTTCCCAGGTTCATCCCTCCTGTTCCACCGCTGCCGTGTGCACAGCTGTGTGATCTTCGTCCAAAGGACCTACAATTCAGGTTGATCTTTGTTAACAAAACTGCAGAAATCTCACAGAGGAAGACCTAGACATGGCCAACAGGCACATGAGAAAATGCTCCGCATCACTGGCCATCAGGGAAATATAAATCAATGAGATACCACCTCACACCAGTGAGAATGGGGAAAATTAACAAGGCGGGAAACCACAAATGTTGCAGAGGATGTGGAGAAAAGGGAACCCTCTTGCACTTTTGGTGGGGATGTGAACTGGTGCAGCCACTCTGGAAAACTGTGTGGAGGTTCCTCAAAGAGTTAAAAATAGACCTGCCCTACGACCCAGCAATTGCACTGTTGGGGATTTACCCCAAAGATTCAGATGCAATGAAACACGGGGACACCTGCACCCCGATGTTCACAGCAGCAATGTCCACAATAGCCAAACTGTGGAAGGAGCCTCGGTGTCCATCAACAGATGATGGATAGAGAAGCTGTGGTCTGTGTCTACAGTGGGATGTTCCTCAGCCATTAGAAACGACAAATACCCACCATGTGTTTCGACGTGGATGGACCTGGATGGAGGGTATTATGCTGAGTGAACTAAGTCAATCGGAAAAAGAAAAACATTATATGGTCTCATTCATTTGGGGAATATAAAAATTAGTGAAAGGGAATAAAGGGAAAAGGAGAGAAAATGAGTGGAAAATATCAGAAAGGGAGACAGAACATGAGAAACTCCTAACTCTGGGAAACGAACTAGGGGTGGCGGAAGGGGAGGTGGGTGGGGGGTGGGGGTGACTGGGTGACGGGCACTGAGGGGGGCACTTGGCGGGATGAGCACTGCGTGTTATGCTATATGTTGGCAAATTGAACTCCAATAAATTTTTTTTTTTAAATTAAAAAAACAAAAGAGAACTGCGTAATCCCACAGATCTCACGTCGTAAGAGAAGTTAGCACCGTTTTACAATGGGCAGCGTGGAGGCCGGGGTGGCTCTGTCAGTTAGGCGTCTGCCTGGGGCTCAAGTCAAGGTCTCGCCGGGGCCCTGGGATGGAGCCCCGCATCAGGCTCGCCGCCCGGGGGGACCCGCCTCTCCCTGCCCCGCTGCTGCCGCCCCCTGCCCCTGCTTCTCGCCCGTGCGCACTCTTTATCTCAAATAAACAAATAAAATCTTTTGAAAAATAAATTTAAAAAAAAATAATGGGCAATGAGATACACGCTGTCAGGAAGAAAAATCCAACACGCTCTCCGACAGGATCTCCAAGGTGTAGCTCTGGGGCGCGTGTCTCAGGAGCAGGCAGCCAGAAGACACCGAGAGGCGGCCGCACCTTATGCCTGCAGAGTCACAGGAACGTAGGCGGGAAGCATCATTCTTGCAAAACATAATGCAAGTAATATTCATGGTAGAGAGAGCGGAGATAGAGAAATGAATAGTTACACTTCTTTTCTTTTGTTAAGGTTTTATTTGTTCCTGAGAGACCAAGAGAGAGAGAGAGGCAGAGCCCAGGCAGAGGGAGAAGCAGGCTCCCTGAGGGCCCCAATGGGGAACTCGATCCCGGGCCCCCGGGGTCACGGCCTGGGCCCAAGGCAGTTACACTTCTGATCAAAGCAAACACTGCTAACATCTCAGTGGATCCCCTGATGAAGGTCTGATTACCCGTGGATTTTCAGCAGGCCCCGAGGGGGCACCCATGCCCCAAGCAGGTGTCAGGAAGGCAAGTGAGGTGACACCCACGGTTGGGGACGGCATGTCCTCGGGGGCTGAGCCGGAAAGCCCCCCTCAGACTGTGGCACAGCAGACCTTGAGGGGCGGCCCGGGCACAGAGGGGTGTCCCTGGACCCGCAGGGCGCGGGGGGCACTTGGAGGCCCGCTCTGCTGCCCTGGGTGCTGCACGGCTCCGCTCGGGAGCTGTTACCTGCAACTATCGGGCACCTAACTACCTGCGAACACCTGTCCTGCCAAAATAACACAGGGCGGTAATACATCGTTGCGGCTAGTAGAGCCACGGGGGTTAGGGCCAAAGGTCCGGGTGATCGGGGCTAGACCTAGAAGGAAATTAAGCTCAAAAAGGTTAAATAACTCACCGGTTTCCTCAGGTGGATGGAGGTGGAGGGAAGGCCCCGAGCCTCGTTTGCACCCCGCGTAGGGCGTCTAGGCCACACTTGCGCCCCAGAAAGGTCATGGGTCAAACTCAGTTGTGCCCCAATCCAAGTGTGTTGTTTCGGAGCTAAGGGGCCCCCCCATTTGGAGGCCTGAGCTCCAGGAGAGGGGAGAGGCCTTCTCGGTGCCTAGGCTTCCTCGGGGTCCACCCGGCTCCTACCCCACGGCCACCGGCGCCCTGGGTCCCCGCAACCGGCTCACCCGCGGTGCCACCTCATGTCATGGCCTGACCCCAGCCACACGGGGCCTGGAGCTCGCCTGCCCTTGTGGGGGTCCCCCTTGCTGTGCCTGGAGAAGACGTGCGCCCCAGGAGCTCTTGGTCCCTAGCACCATGGGCCGAAGTACTTTCCTGCTCTTCTTGGTTAAAGGCCCTATATGGTAGCAGAAAGTGTGAGGCTTGATCCAGCCTGGACCCGAGGCCAAGCTCTGCCACTTACTACGTGGCTGGGGGACAGGTTACTCATTTTCCGCGAGGCTCACTTTACTCATCTGAAGAATGGAAAGAAAGATACCGACCTTAAAAAGGCTGTTGTTTGGACCAGAAGAAATGTTTGACACACAAGGGATTTGCAGCAAAGGGTTATTGTTATTGGGGTTGCTCCCCATGCTGTCGGCTTGAAGAGCCGCCAATGGTGTGTGCACTTTGGCTCTTCCCCATTTAAGATTTAACAGCTGATTTTGGACAGGAGACGAAAATCGCTCCAGGGTAGCCCACTGCCCTGCCACAGAGGACTTGATAGTTTCGCAAGTCCATGAAAACACAGAGGTGAGCTCATACCCAGCCCTTGACAGGCCGTGGGTTCGGCTCTGCTTCAGCACGTCAAGTCTTCTGTTGAAGTGAACGCAGGGACAAATAAATTAAAAACTTGAGTCTTTTAACACATGGCATTATTTAAGAATTAGGAATGGGAATTGGGTATTCCAATAATCCTTTATGGAATGGGGTAGGCCAATCATGTTTAAAGTAAAATCTAAGTCAGCTTTCCTTATAAACATATAAATACAGAATTTATAGGAGCTTTTTTTTTTAAGGTATTAACCTTTTGCCTATAGCTCAACACTTTTCTTACGAGGTGAGAGATGCAGAAACATGACAGTTTTTTAAATTTTCTTTTACAAGGGAAGTTTCCTTTTACAAATGACTTTCATTCCCATACGGGACCATTACAGAAAAATCCTGGCAGGCAAATGCCATAAATAATCAAGTGCCTAGCAATTACAGCAATTGTGCATTGTTTCCAAAACGCTGTTAATGTTCTTGACATCACTTTCCCCAAAAGCATCATATATATGTATGTAATATATGGATATACACATATATGTATGTATATATGTATACATACATGTATGTACATGAATGGTGTTTTAAGTGGAAATTTTTATGAGATTTTTCTCTGGAGCTTTGGTCAGGGACCAAAATACATATGGACATCTAGTTTAACTACATCTGAAATAAACTATAGACTCAAATGCTAATTTTTAAATCCCAAATTAGACCAATTTACTTAAGACTTTTTCTGATCGGAGGAAAGAATCAAAATTCTTCGCTAAGCCCTATTACAAATTCTAAAAGTTTTCCTTGAAATTTGGTGGATAAATACACATTTATTTTTATGTAATCTGTAGCAAAACACAAAACAAAACAAAACTCTGTTAACAATTGGAATATTTTAAAAAAACTGGAATATTTATATTTTACTTTCCTGAAAGTGGCTGGTGTTTCTTATCACAAATGAGATAATAAAAAAATATTTCGTATATCCTCTAGTGTACTCTGTTCCTCACAGTGAAATTTTGGGAGAGAAGCAATACGTTTCCTCGTGATTGTGACTTTAAGAATTGATTCTCATCAGAACAACATCTTAAGATAGAAGTTAACATTTATGGGAAACTTCAGAAATGTGACCTTAGAAGATTCCATTACTTACTCACACAATCCTATACTTACTCAATGTTGTCCTGTAACCAAGAGGTCAGAGAGGGTAAAGATTGAAAAACGGTAACGGATCCAGCGGTTGGGACTCTCTGATGACCACGGGGAGAGGCTCAGAGTCTCCCACGAGGGTGCAAAGCATCAGCCGGGCTTCACAAGACTGTAGAAACTCCTTGCGAGCTCACTCGTAGTTTTGCTAGCAGAGGGCTCCAATTCTCCGAGCTGTTGGCTGTTCTTCACCCTGTGGCCCCCTCAAGGCCCTTGAGTGTCCTCCTGACATGGCAGCTGGCTTCCCCAGAGCAAGTGGTGAGAGAGGGAGGCAGAGACAGAAATAGAAGGGGGTGAGAGGGATGAGAGAGAAAGAAGTCTACTTAGAATCCTACACTCTGCTCTATTTTCTAGAAGCAAGACACTAACTCCAGCACTTGCTCCAGGGGAGGAGAATGAAATTCTCCCCGATGATCAAAGAATTTGTGGACATGGTTTTAAACTACCACAATCAGTTGGAAGTCCTGATTGCAAGCAGCAGAGAGTCTATCTCAAAATGGAATAAACAACAATGGGAATTCATTTGCTCCCGAAATGAAAAGATCCTGCCAGCAGACAAACTTCCTAAGTGCTTTGTTGAGAGCTCCAGCTCCACTTCTCCGTCCTCTCTGTGTCGAATCATCCTCAGGGAGGCTTCCTACCAGCAAAAACGACTGTAGCAACTGTGAGCCTCATGTAGGCACACAGAACCTTCCAGAACAGGTAAGCATGTTTCTGTGTCCGCATCCCCCAGCATTCAGAGATTCACTCTGAGAGGATAGGTTTAGGTCACACGACCCCTACCCCCCCTAAACCAGGGCCGGAAGGCCTCGACCGGCTCCAGTACTCCATCCCCAAAACCACACAAAGGCCTAGGCTGCTGGGAAAAAGGAAGAGATGCTGGGGGGCCACCTCGATTACCTATTACAAAAGGCGGTGAAGTCTTGCCAGCTTTTTAAGATACGGGGTACACAGCAGTTTTGCAATAGGAAAGCTGTCGAGACGGAGAGATTGAAGAGCAAGAAAATGTAATGGAGAATGCTGAAAAACTGAACCAAAGGTACCTTCAGAGTAGACATTCGTCGCAAGGGGTTGGAGAACCACCACCTCTTCCTCTGACATCGGGGACAAGAGAGAAAAGGCAACCTGTCCGAGGAGGTAGGCCGAGCGTATGTAGGCCGTGGTTGGGGGTGCAAAGGAAGACAGGGAGGTTACCCACCCAACCCAAGGGAGAGAAGGGAAAGAGGAGCAGCGGGGCGCTCACACTGTTGAGAGAGGGCGGACGAGCAGTGTCTTGGAGGATGAAGCCAACTAGACTTGTCATCCTCATCGAGCTAGGAGACCTCTGCTGCGACAAGAAAGTATAAGCAGAGCTGGAAAAGCTCTGAGAGGAGACAAAAATCAACAATCCTGTAACAGAAGTCATAACACTGAAGGAAATAGTAACTTTTTTTGGAGAGAGAGAGAGAGAGAGAGAGAAGAACGCTGCGCATGCGTGAGGGGGGAAAGGAGGAGCAGAAGGAGAGAGAAAGAGAGAGAATCTTGACTCTTGACCCTTGACACAGGGCTGGATCTCAAGCCCTAAGATGACCTGCACGGAAATCAAGAGTTGGATGCTTAACTGATGAACCACCTAGGTGCCCTGGAAATAGTATTCTTTGGAGAAAGAAGGGTAAGAAGTGATGCAAGTTACAACAAAATGGGAGTTTCAGATAAGTTTCAAAAAAAAAAAGCATCAATGACAAATATCAAGAATAAGATATTCTAATCTACCTTTCAAGATTTAAGCGTATGTAATTTATGTGATTCTTTTCTCTGCCAGAAAATGCATCGCAGACTATTCGGTTTGAGGATGAGAAATTTTTAATTCCTAACACTGCTGCTAAATCTTGGCTAAGAAACAAGATGGAACAGCTGCTTCTTTTTATTATTATTATTATTATTATTAATTATTAAACATGCAGATTAGCAAAGTGAGAATTTATATTTTCCTTTATTTCACATATACCAAAAAATTCCTCTTCACCATAGCCTCTCTGGCTTCTGGGAAAGAATCCTTGCCTTAAATAAAACAAAGAGGCCCTATGTTTATGTTCACACTCATCTGGCTCAGAGTTTTGTTAAGAAAAAGTAGCATGAAATAAAAATAATAAAAATATTTGAAAAATCTGAACTTGAGCACAAGGTCATGAAGAAAGGCAACCTTGGTTCAACTTGCCTTAGGACAGTGACCTCGACAAAGAACTTTTCTTTTGAAATTGTTTAATGGGTTCCAGAGAACGAAGGAGCTTTTACAAGTATAATGTGCATTTCTGGGGCGGGGAGAGAAACATCCCGTTGGACATATTTAACCTTCAATTTTGCTTCTTGTAAGATTGAAGGGGTCAAACAGACTAGGCCTGTATGGAATTCAGAAGGGCTTATTCTTCTCCCACTAGCTCTTTCCCAGGCACACAATTTGCTTTCTACCAGAAGGCTCTTAATTATTTTGGCAAACACTTAAATACTGTCTTACTACCAAACCTTTCAGCAGACAATATAAGATGAACGCTCAGCAAAACACAGTTTCTGTTTCTTTCTTGAGGCAGAAAAGGACTTCAAGATAGCCTTGCTTAACATAACTACCATCATTTATTGAGAATTTACCATGAGCCAGGTGCTCTGCTGGGCATTTTACATTCATAATCTGATTTAGTCTTCCTAACAATCCTAGGAATCGTGTAGTATCATCATTCCACAGATATAAAAAAAAAAAAGTGCGAAGAAGTCAAGTATTGGGCCAAGCTCCCAGAGCTACTAGGTTGCAGAGCTGAATGTTGAAACCACATGTGTTTGATTCCAAAGCCCATGCTCTTCCTTTCTGCACCATTCTCCCTAATGATCTGAAATAATTTCTTAATATTTACAAGGAAGAGTCAACAGCTTCAAGAAATGTTTAAAGGGAAATAAAATACTTTTTAAAATGTTGATGAGTAAATACAAATACCGATTCATTCAAATTCAGATGTTGGACATTATCCCCAGACGCACTGTGCACGGAGACAAGTACATATGTAGGATCAGAGAGCAGAAACACTTTCAGGTTAGAAGTAAGCCCAACTTCAAATGGTAGAATGAGCCTGTGAGGTGTAGGGATGACATAAGCCTATCAGAAAGCAAACAGGTCAGGTCTGGGAGGCATCAAGAGGAAACCAAGGGTAGGAGAGAAGGGGCAATGGTTTGCTGAAAACCAGTGCAGCGGCGAAGTTCACAGTCTCACTCAGTAGAAACACTCCAGAAACCTATGCAAAAAAAAAAAAAGAAGTACTGTAAGCAACGGAGCGAGAGTGAATATGGAATCAGAGGACCCAATGGTCATGTCAGCCCCAGGCCTCATGTCACTTTTACATTAGCTGAAATCCTGAAAATGTGGATGTAGGAAAGCTCAGAGCAGATGAGCTTTTGCAGTACTTACAGGTTCCTGCCCCAACATCAGGCAGCGTAAGTGTCAGCACCCTGTGTCTTTGCACAGCACGGGGGGGGGGGGGAGGGGGGGGCAGACACTGTAGGCTGCTGTCCTAATGGGTTTACCCTGGGTTGGGCCCAGCCGAGCAGCCGGAGCCGGCTCTGCAAGCCGTCCTGCAGGTGTGTGTGTGGGGGGGGGCAGCGGCCTCAGCAGGTGCCCTCTGCCCTCTCCCCACGAGGGCACTTGGCAAAGCCACATCTTGGTTTTGACCCTTACGAAGGAGGGAAGGGTGATATTGGCGCCTGATGCTGGGGGCACCCTACAATGCGCACAGCAGGCCCCCGCCACACAGGACGACCCAGCCCCCCAGAGGCCAAGTGTCCCTGGGGGAAGGCCCTTGGCTCTGCGCCTGGAGGGGTGGGTCCGGGGACAGCCTCTTCTGAGCTGCCCATCCTGCCATAGACCACTTCTCAGGGATCATGGCGTCTGGCCCCGGGGTCACCAGGAGGCCTAGAACGGGAACCAGACGTGGTCTACTTGTGTTTTCACCTAAAACAATAAATCCGGGGCGCCTGGGTGGCTCAGGTCCTGGTCCCAGGATCCAGGATCGAGTCCCACGTCGGGCTCCCTGCACGGAGCCTGCTTCTCCCTCTGCCTGTGTCTCTGCCTCTCTCTCTCAGTCTGTGTCTCTCGTGAATAAATAAATAAATCTCAAAAAAAATAAAATAAAATAAAACAATAAATCATCCTGCAGCTCAGGGATGAGATCCGGACTCCTGGGTACCCTGGGCTCCGGCTGGGTTTGGGTTTCTCACCCCCGCCCCCGCCCCCGACTCCAGCACTCCTGGGAGTGGGAATGACGTTTTCATTCGTCACGTTTTCGTGACGTCATCTATTTCGTGTCGATGAGACCCGCTGCTCTTTGGGAGCGGGAAGGTTTGGATCCGCGGAAGCCGGCAAGGGGAGCAGAGGCTCGCGTGCGCCGCGGAGATCCCGTGGGGGGGGCGGGGGGCCCGAGTGCCTGGGGGGAGCCTCCGCGCCCCGCCCCGGTCTCTGCGCGTCCCAGGGGAGGGGGCGGGGCGGGGCGCGGACGCCAGGCCGGCGGGAAACCGCAGGAAGAGGCGGGACTCGGCGCTTTGTCCCCGGGCCCAGGCCGCCGCGGAGCCGAGAGCGGCCCCCGCTGGGCGCCCCTGCCCTCGGAGGGGTCCGGGACGCGCGGGGCGGGGTGGGCTCGCAGACCACGCCCTGGTGGGCGGGGCGCTGCGGAGACCACGCCCTCGGGGTGGGCGGGGCGGCACGCAGGCCACGCCCCGGGAGTCTATAAAGGCTGCGGCGCTAGCCGCGCGGCCCCGACCTCCCGCGCCCTGTGCCCCCGGTCCCGCGAGCGCCGCTGGCCTGCGCGGTCTGCGCCCGACTCGAGTGAGTAGTGGCGGCGGGGGAGCCCCCCTCCCGGCCTCCCGCCCCCGGCCCGGGGTCTCCGCCGCCGCGGGCGCTGCCCGGGACTCGGGGGAGCGGGGCGGGGGCTCCGGGGCCGAGCCGCGAGCCTCCCCTGCGGCCCCGGGACACCCGGCGCGGGACCTCGGCCGCCCGACCGCGGCCCACGCCCCGGCTTTGTCCCGGCTCGCTGCGGCTCAGGTGCAAACCCCGACGCGGGCGCGCGGCCCCCAGACGCCGCAACAGGTCCCGAGCCGCGCCGCCCGCGTCCGCCGGCTCCACGTCGGCAGCCCCTGGGGGAGGGGTGTCCCCGCGGGGGCGCGCCGCCTGCCCCCCCCCCCCCCGGCCGCCCGCGGCCCCCGACCCCCCTGCCCCGGGCCCATCCCCCGGCTCTTCCCCCTGCCCCCCTGCTCCGGTCCCTATCCCTGGCCCTTCCCCTGCTCCCCTACCCCTGACCCTCCCCCTGCCCTGGGCTATCCCCAGGCCCTCCCCCTGCCCCGGGCTGTCCCCAGGCCCTTCCCCTGCACCCCTGCCCCAGTCCCTACCCCTGGCCCTCCCCCTGCCCTGGGCTGTCCCCAGGACCTTTCCCTGCCCCAGTCCCTACCCCTGGCCCTCCCCCTGCCCTGGGCTGTCCCCAGGCCCTTTCCCTGCCCCGTCCTTACCCCTGGCCCTTCCCCTGCACCCCTGCCCCGGTCCCTACCCCTGGCCCTTCCCCTGCCCCCCCTGCCCCGGGCCTGTCCCCAGGCCCTTCCCCTGGCCCCCCTGCCCCATCCCTACCCCTGGCCCTTCCCCTGCTCCCCTGCCCAAGCCCATCCCCAGGCCCTTCCCCTGGCCCCCCTGCCCCAGTCCCTACCTCTGGCCCTTCCCCTGCCCCCCCCCCCTGCCCCGGTCCTGTCCCAGGCCCTTCCCCTGGCCCCCCTGCCCCATCCCTACCCCATCCCTACCCCTGGCCCTTCCCCTGCCCCCCTGCTGAGCCCATCCCCAGGCCCTTCCCTTGGCCCCCCTGCCCCATCCCTACCCCTGGCCCTTCCCCTGCCCCGGCCGGTCCCCCGACCCCCCTGCCCCCCCACCCAGACCCCTTGCCCCCAGCCCTGCCTCCGGCCCTTCCCCCCAACCCCCTGCCCCACCCCGACGTTTCTGTAAGGGCATTTGTTTCAGTAGTTACCCAAAACGTTTAACCTGTTTTATTTGCAGTCTGCAGACTAAGCACATTTTCACTTTTTTTGTGCTTTCAGTAGAGACA